TTTATTTAAAAAAGTAATTGTTACCAGAGGCTTAAATAGCACAAACCTTTCTTTAACCTCTATCAACACCTTGTATACAACCATTTAATCTAGAGAGAGTATCTTCATCTCAGTAGATAAAGGAGGCTCAGAAAAGGTGACAGTTTAAGACCTTCGTCTTACTAGGACTTTTAAGGCAAACATAATTGACGTGCAAATGAACAGTGTCCAGCAGATGGCAGCAGTGTACCACTTAGTACCTGACAGTTTTTAGAGGCTAACAATCTTGAGTTTATTATTTAATCACAAAATAGCTATCTCTAAACAAGTTCAGAATGCATCTGGATTGACCTTTAGTCCTTAAGATCCATGAGTTTCCTCCTTGTTCAGTAGGTTTATGTATATGGTATGGGAACAACAAAAACATTCATTCTGTGCTTTGGAACAAGACAGTGTTTCTGATCTAAAGAGAAGACAAAGTCTGAGAACGGTTAGAGAATTGATGGCAAAAGCTGAGAACAGTGTGTTGAATTCTCCTACAGTGGTATTGGAGTTACTATTTTTGCTTTGAAGTTCTGTGAATTTTTTGTTTTATATAAATTTTAGGCTTATTTTGTTAGATGTGTACCTGTTCAGAATTTTTGTTTTTTTTTTGGTGAATTGGACTTCCCATCATTATTTAGTGATCTTCTCTAATTGTGCTTTTTGTTTTCAGACTTCTTTTTTTCCAAATATTAATAAACCTTACCAGTTTTATTTGTTTTTCCCTTTTTTTACTATCAACCCTTTTACTTATAGCAAATAGTTTATTTTGTTAAGATTTTCAATTTCTTTTTCTTTTAACTAGTGAGTTTAAGGTTTTAATTTTGCATTTCTTGATATACTTGGACTTTATTCTGCCATCTTATTATTTTTATTTAAATTGTCCTTCTCCACCCCCTTGCCAAAGTAGTTCAATAGTATCTCTAACTTAATCTAAAGACCTTTAGCATATTCTCACTTTCCTTGGTCTCTACAATACTGCTTCTTCCAGTCCAGGTCAAAATAAGGAGCTTTCACTAGAATGTACACCAACTGTGTCACTTCTGACACAGTTTAGTTCCATCCACTATTTATTTCTGCTGACATTGTTTTTATAGAAGTCTTCCTTTTTAAAGAAACAGTGCCTTGTTCCTTTCAGTTATTCTCTTACTCAGCAAGAACTTTATATAAGTGAAACCATAAACATGTACTGGTTTTTGTCTGGCTTCTTTTCATTAATATTATGTATTTGTGAGTTATTGTTTCTTTATTCTTGTTGTATTATATTCATTTATGTGAAAATACTACAACTTACCTTATTGTTTATGGGCATTTAGGTTGGTTCCAGTTTCTGGCTATTAGAGTATACACTATTGTGAAGATTTTGAAGTATGCTTTTATTGGTGAACATTTATTCATTTTTGTTGGAAAAATGTGTAGGAGAGAGATTCCTACACATTGTATAGGGTTATGGCTATGCTGATGTATAAAGATGCTGTCAGTTTTTCAAAGTGATTGTGCCTGTTTACACTCTTCATTGGCTGTAAATAAATGTTTTAGAAATTTCACTTTCTTCTCTATACTTGGTGCTTTCTGCCTTTTTGCATTTTTGATATTCTGGAGTGGGTATAGTGGTATTGCATTGAGATTTTGTCTTGTATTTTTCGATAACTTCTCGCAGAGCACCTTGTCATGTGTTTATTGGGCCATATGTCTTCTGTTGGGTTATTTGTATTTTTTCTTAATGATTTGTAAAAATTCTTGATATTTTTGGATATAAATCATATTTTGTGTCAATATGTAGATGTTTGTATACATGTGTGTATTTACATATTATATATGTAGATTATGTTTTCTACTGAGAGTTGCTTTTGAAATCTTTTAATAGTGTCTATTGGTAATAGAACTTACCAATTTTGATATGGTCCAGTTATATAGGTTTTTTCTTTATTACCAATTTTTAAACTGAAGCTTTTTCACACCTTAATATCATGAATATATGTTTCAGTGTTTTACTATAAAAGTGTAAAAGCTAGGTGCTGCTGTTACAGAAATGAAATCAGACATTATCTTTTTTCCAGTGTCTCACAAAAGCAGCCATTCCTGATTCAAAGGCCAGTCTCTTGACTCCAAGTGCTCACTTTTGCAAGCTTTGCTTAATGTTGTGTATATCCCCCTATTCTCCAGGTCTTCTTTCTTTCTAGTTCTTCTTAGTATACACAACCTCTCAGGGCAATCATGTCCATGCCCATGGCTTCAGTTGCTTTCTCTATTCGCTGAGGACAATAGAATTTTAAATTTAAAATATTAGTTTTATTTTTTTGTAAGATACCTCATTTGCTCTAACCATAGATTCAGAGTTGCTCCATGAAAGTAAGAAAAAATGGTGATATACTTAGCATGTAAATTTTAGGAAATTTCCCATTACTCTAAATGGTTTGATTTAGTATGTGTGTTATTTTTAAAAACATATGTTGGGATGTCACAAATGGACTTAGCCTACAGAGATTTATATTCAACTTTGACCAGAGAGTTCCATTTTAATGTGACACTGAGCGTAAAAAACTGTCTTTTCCTCCTTATCTATTTCTCTTCCTACATTCTCTGCCAGGAGAAAGGTACAACTCTGTACCCAGTCTTCCCCAACAGAGCCCGAGCAGCCCTGTTTTTCCCTCTACTTTTCTGCTTTCACATCTTATGACCAAGTACTTCCTATTCTGTCTCCCCAATAATCACAAAATTTTTTCCCTCACTTTTGTCACTGCCACTGCCTTTTGCATCAGTCTTCCTTTAGATAGTCTCTTAATTGGTCTGTTGCTTCCTTCAGTTTTTCCTTATTATACAGACCACTACACACACATCTGACAGAGACTCCTCACCTTTGTATGGTTCAATGACTCAATTTTTCATAATAAAATTGAAACCACCGCAGTGTCAAATTTGGGGTCAGATAGAGGTGGGTTTATATCTCAGATTCCTACACTGTCCAGTAGTGTGACCTCAGAAAACTGAACTTCTTAAGCCTTTGTGTATCTGCCTACCCTCATTGAAATTTGGGACTGTTTCACACATACAGTGTCTGGCATGTAGAAGGGACTTCAACGATGTTGAATGAAGAGGCATTTTAAAATTTACATTAAAAAAATTACTATTTTTTAAATATGCCAGTCTATAATGTTACTTCCCTTCCAAGCTTGACTTCTACATGTACTTTCTGATACGGTTTGGTCATGTCCCCACCCAAATCTCATCTTGCATTGTAATTTTTATAATCCCCACATGTTGAGGGAGGAACTCAGTGGGAGGTAAGTGGATCATGGGGGCAGTTTCCCATATGCTGTTCTTGTGATAGTGAGTTTTCATGAGATCTGATGGTTTTATATGTGTTTGACAGTTCCTCCTTTACATGCTCACACTCTTTGGCCTGCTGCCTTGTAAGAAGTAACTGCTTCCCCTTCTGTGATTGTAAGTTTCCTTAGGCCTCCACAGCAATGTGGAATGTGAGTCAATTAAACTTCTTTCGTTTGCAAATTACCCAACCTCAAGTATTTCCTTATAGCAGGGTGAAAATGGAATAATGCACTTTCTGATAGTCACGCTTGAGGAATTGGGGAATTCATACTACCTGAGATCAAATAATGGCCCCAGCCTGGGCAGTCATGTGACCTTGGGGAGATAACTTACCTTCTCCATCTTAGTGTCTTCTCTAAAACTAGTGAGATTGTTTCTGAGGGCTCAATGAGCGTAGCCCACTTGGAACACCATCAGGCACATACTGCTTGCTAGGTGTTCAGTATTCATTTTTATTGAGTTAGGACATTGGTAACCCACCTAATGGCTCTTGATTTTGTATAACAAAGTCATACTTAGAAGTTTGTTAGTAAAAGAGAGAAAATCTAAAAGTCCCTGCCATGGAAGGAAGAAACAGAGGAGAAAAGGAAGTTGGTAAGTTTCAGCACTTTAGAGCTTGGGGGGACAAGTTAGGTTTCTATTTTCTGGAGAAGGAGGTGGAGGAAGGATGGGTTCTAAGGTGTCATTCAAAACACACAGTCATAACTCCTTTGTGAGAGTAGAGCTAGGGCCCCAGGGATTGCTTTGGTGAAGTTGCAGACAAAAACTACCACTCATTGAAAGACAGGAGAGGAATATTTCAGGTTTATCTATATTGAGTCAACAAATAAAAGTTCAACTGGTTGCTAATGGGACCCACTCTGCTAACTGCCACTTTATATAGAACTCCTAGAGGAAAATGGCTTCCAGTAATGAACCACCCTGTTTTTAGGACTAAAAAGCTCAGGAAGCTGGTGGGTGATGAATGAAAACCTTAGTTCCACTGGCACTGAAGGAGGCGCCAGGAGAGCAGTGGCATCATAAGCCACAGGGTGGGGCAGCCTGGGCAATGGGGAGGGGTGGTAACCAGGGTGAGGCATTGTGAGGTGTGGGGCAGGGCACTGTGAGTCTGGGCTTCCACCTGGGCCAGTGGGCTTCAGTCTGTATTTGACTACAGAAGGAATAGTAGCTCCTTTTGTACTCTTCAGGCAGTTGTATCACTCAGCGCTTGTTGGGTTCCCAACCTATTAAATTAGTCAACTGTTTCTGACCCTCCCAGACAAGTCAACTTAGGAGGCAGCAGGGTGCGGGCCTCGGCCCGAGCCCCGGCTGGGGCCGGGCTGTGGGGTGGGCAGGTGAGCAGTGGGCAAGACCATCTCTGAAAGTGCGGCATAGCCTCTGCCTAGGGCAGCAGGAGTGCCTGGTCAACACTGTGAGCGGAGGCACAGGTGGCAGCAGACAGGAGTAGAGGTTCCCCATGGGGAACATACTGTGCTGCTGTGTGTGCCCCAAGTCGGACGATGATGAGGTGTCAGGGTGTCCTCCAGAGTGTAAAATCTGTGAAGCAACAGCTGAGGACACGACAGCAGCAGCACCCACTGCTGCTGCCATAGAACCTGCTGAGTTGACTGTTGAAGCTGGTGAGGGCCTTCCTGTGCATGACATCTGTGATGGGGAGATGCCTGAAGGTAAGGAGGTGACGGTGCCATCTGCCCTGGCCACCCCTCTGGCTGCTCTTGTCTTCAAGGTCCTCTGGGGGCCATTCCCTACCCCAGGCTCCTTTTTGCCTGTAGCCAGCTTTTCCAGGGCTGGTCAGAAACAAAGGCTGGTTCTGCCTTGTGTTCCTTTTTCAACCACTTAGTCTTTCTTCACGGAGTCCAGTCAATTTCTTTTCTCCTCCCCTCCCAAACACCCAGTTCTTGCTCCCTCATCTCATTCTCTTAGGCTAGCCTGGGACCATTTATGTCTCTGCTTGTCTGTAGCTCTGTTTATTATTCTGTGGGATTTTGTTGAGGCTTTTTTTTTTTAATATCTCTTCCTTTTTTCAATACAAACTCAAATACCCCAACTTTCCAGTAGCCATCTCATTCTTTTTTGTACCTATCCAGATGGTACCTAAGTGAAGGAACCAGGTAAGTGCCTAATTATTTCCTTCATTAAAGTAGCTAAATCTCAGGACAGTTCATACTGAAATATTTGGCAATTTCTTCTTTGAAATCAGAATGAAGTTTGCCATGGGAAAGATGATAGGATATTCTTAATGGGTTGCTTTAAGTCACCTTGATAGGTGCTTATTTTTTTCTAACTGTAATTTGAATGCAAAAGGAAAGAAAATGGGAGGGTGCTTAAATAATTGTGAAAGGTATGAAATGTCATGGCCAGGGCTGCAGAAAAATGGGTTTTTGTTTTCCTCCAAAGGAGTTTACCTATGAGGCTCTGATGACTTTAAAATTCTTACTTTAACACAAAATGTGTCTCTAGATTTATTCTGGTGATTTAACAGACTTAATTTACCTTGTTCTAGAAGAGAGTTAGGGATGGTTCATGGTCAAAACTTTCAAAAGACATGAAACGTCAATGTAGACTTTTAACATGTAACATAAAGATTGAAGGTTAAAACTGTGGAAGAGTGTTTGCTGCCATGACTCCCCCTTTCTCCTTCCTCCACCTGACAATAGAATCTTGTTCAAAGATACAAAAGTAAAGCACAACCAGTTACAGATTTCTTTGTTCCTTCTCCACTCCCACTGCTTCACTTGACTAGCCTTAAAAAAAAAAAAAAAAAAAAAAAAGTAAAGCATAAGAAGCTGGAAGCCATCTTTCTCAGCAAACTAACACAGGAACAAAAACTAAACTTCACATATTCTCTCGTAAGTGGTAGCTGAATAATGAGAACACATGGACACAGGGAGGAGAACATCACACACTGGGGGGTTCGTTGTTGGGTGGGGTGTAAGGGGACGGCGAACATTAGGACAAATACCTAATGCATGTGGGTTTTAAAACCTCAATGATGCGTTTATAGATGCAGCAAACCACCAGGGCACATGTATACATATGTAACAAAGCTACACATTCTGCACATGTATCTCAGAACTTAAAAAAAAAAAAAGCAACAAAACAAAAAAACCAACATTGGTTTGGCTCTTAGTTTTTTCCAGAGGTAGAATAATTAACATTCATGATGAATGTGACATTGTAATTTGGAGTACTATACTCACTTTTCAAGATGTTTAAGAATTTTGAATAAACAAATATGTGAATTGATTATACCTTTATACACAAAATGTGTAAGTACTTGTGTAAACTTATACTCTGGTTGCTGGTGTAAGGAAAGCCTGTGAGTGATTTTACACAACAGTTCATAGATGGGTGGTGTTGGATTAGTGAACAAAAAAGGCTCTTTATTGCTATTCTTTAGGATTATAATACAGTTTATGTATGTCTCTTTTGGCCCCTTCCAATACAAAGAAGACTTGTGTATGTTCTTCCTCTTTATTCCTAATGAAGAAATGAAGACAGAGATCTCACATGACTATGGAAGACAGCTGCTCAACAGAGCTAATATTCTGTGTCTTCAGAATGTTGTGGAAGTGACAAATATGCTGAATTTACTTTTTAAAAAATTTTTAAACTCCAGAATACATCTTATACTTTGTCTATAAAATAGGCCTTGCTTTTAAAATGTATTGCCATCTTGATTTATTTTATGCAAAGTTGATTTTACACAACTGAAAGGGAACATTTACTTCTTTCTATTTTTTAAATAAAAAAGTCTGACTGTTACTCTGGCCTTAATTCCAGACTTGGGTTTGAGGGATTTTCTTTTTTTATCCTCCTGAGTATCTGGGAATACAGGCATGTGCCACCTTATCTGCCCTCGTCTTATTTCTATACATTCATTTCAATGGATAAGAATAAAAGTAGGAGTATTAAAATTGCCTCCTTGTAGAATAAATGAGTTGATAAATTGTTATAATGATCAAATCTTTTTACTTTTCTCTCTGTATAGGTAGGGCTTTGGAATCCGATCCTTCTGATCATCGAGAAGCAAAGAAATCTCAAGCAGTTGGTGAGACAACATTGTTTTTTTCCACCAGGAGAAAGACTGAAAACTCTTGTTTGTTGAGGTGTATAATAGAAAATGTTTAGCAGAACTCATATTGGTTTAAATTTTTAAAATTTTCACTTATTCATTTGTGTTATTTTAACATGTAATATACTTTACTTGTTATGTTAGTGAAAACATGTCAACTTTTTGTTTACATTTTTCCATCTTATCAACACAATTTGTCATGTAGTAGAGGAGTCTTAGATTTATCTTTATGTTTAATTCTTTGTCCCTTTTCCCAATGGATAAGAATAAAAGTAGAGGTAGTGAGATGGCTTCCTTGTTGAATAAATGAGTTGATAAATTGTTATAAGTCATTACATATTTTTCTTTTCTCTCTGTATAGATAGGGCTTTGGAGTCCAACCCTTCTGATCATCCAGAATCAAAGAAATATCCAGCAGATGGTGAGACAACATTGTTTTTTTCTACCAAGAAGAAGAGTGAAAACTCTTGTTTGATAAGGTGTATAATAGAAGGTGTTTAGCAGAACTCATAGGTTTAAATTTAAAAAATTTTTTACATATTCACTTACGTTATTTTAACGTGATATACTTTACTTGTTATGTTAGTGAAACCGTGTCAACTTATTGTTCATAGATTTTCCCATCTTTTTATCAACACAATTTTTCATGAAGTGGAGGAGTCTTAGATTTATCTATATGTTTTATTCTTTGTCCCTTTTTTCAATGGATAAGAATAAAAGTAGGTGTAGAAATGGCTTCCTTGTCGAATAAGTGAGTTGATAAATTGGTATAGTGATTACATACTTTTTCCTTTTTCTCTGTGTATATATAGATAGAGCTTTGGAGTCCGACCCTTCTGATGATCCAGAAGGAAAGAAATATCCAGCAGATGGTGAGACAACATTGTTTTTTTCTACCAAGAAGAAGAGTGAAAACTCTTGTTTGATGAGGTGTATAATAGAAGGTGTTTTGCAGAACTTATATTGGTTTAAATTTATAAATAAATTTTTCACATATTCACTTGTGGTATTTTAACATGATATACTTTACTTGTTATGTTAGTGAAACCATGTCAACTTATTGTTCATAGATTTTCCCATCTTTTTATCAACACAATTTTTCATGAAGTGGAGGAGTCTTAGATTTATCTATATGTTTTATTCTTTGTCCCTTTTTTCAATGGATAAGAATAAAAGTAGGTGTAGTAATGGCTTCCTTGTCGAATAAGTGAGTTGATAAATTGGTATAGTGATTACATACTTTTTCCTTTTTCTCTGTGTATATATAGATAGAGCTTTGGAGTCTGACTCTTCTGATGATCCAGAAGGAAAGAAATATCCAGCAGATGGTGAGACAACATTGTTTTTTTCTACCAAGAAGAAGAGTGAAAACTCTTGTTTGATGAGGTGTATAATAGAAGGTGTTTTGCAGAACTTATATTGGTTTAAATTTATAAAATTTTTCACATATTCACTTGTGGTATTTTAACATGATATACTTTACTTGTTATGTTAGTGAAACCATGTCAACTTAATTGTTCATAGATTTTCCCATTTTTTTTATCAACACAATTTGGCATGTAGTGGAGGAGTCTTAGATTTATCTATATGTTTTATTCTTTGTCCCTTTTCCCAATGGATAAGAATAAAAGTAGGTGTAGAAATGGCTTCTTTGTCTAATAAGTGAGTTGATAAATTGTTATAAGTGATTACATACTTTTTTCTTTGTCTCCATACATGTATAGATAGAGCTTTGGAGTCCGATTCTTCTGATGATCCAGAAGGAAAGAAATATCCAGCAGATGGTGAGACAACATTGTTTTTTCTACCAAGAAGGAGAGTGAAAACTCGTTAGATGAGGTGTATCATAGAAAGAGTTTAGCAGAACTCATATTGGTTTAAATTTTTAAAATATTTACGTATTCACTTGTGTTATGTTAACGTGATATACTTTGCTTGTTATCATGCTAGTGAAAACATGTCAACTTTTTGTTCATGCATTTCTTATCTTTTTATCAATACAATTTGTCATGTATTGGAGGAGTCTTAGATTTATCTTTATGTTTAATTGTTTGTCCATTTCCCAATGGATAAGAATAAAAGTAGGGGTAGAAATGGCTTCTTTGTTGAATAAATGAGTTGATAAATTGTTATAAATGATTACATATTTTTTCTTTTCTTGCTGTATAGATAGGGCTTTGGAGTTTGACCCTTCTGATCATCCAGAAGGAAGGAAATATCCAGCAGATGGTGAGACAACGTTGTTTTTTTCCACTAGGAAAAAGAGTGAGAACTCTTGTTTGATGAGGTGTATAATAGAAAGTGTTTAGGAAAACTCATATTTGTTTAAATTTCTAAAATTTTTACATATTTACTTGTGTTTTTTGTAACGTGATATACTTTGCTTGTTACCATGTTAGTGAAAACATGTCAACTTCTTGTTCATTGATTTTTCCATCTTTTTATCAACACAATTTGTCATGTAGTGGAGGAGTCTTGGATTTATCTTTATGTTTAATTCTTTGTCTCTTTTCCCAATGGATAAGAATAAAAGTAGAGGTAGTGAGATGGCTTCCTTTTTGAATAAATGAGGTGATAAATTATTATAAGTGATTATTTATTTTTTCTTTTTTTTTCTTTACAGATAGGGCTTTGGAGTCCAACCCTTCTGAAACAAGGAAATCCCAAACAGGTAGTGAGACAACATTGTTTTTTCTGCCAAGACAAAGAGTGAAAAATCCTGTTTGATCAGATGTATTATAAAAACTTTTTAGAAAAATTCATATTATCCGACATAATCGGAGGTCTTTTCTCCTTCCTGGATTTTCCCTCTGGGGTCTTACTTTCACACACTCTCTCGTGGAAGCTTTCTCTCTTCTCTGTTTCTCTCTCTCTCTGTCTCTCTCTCTCAATAAAACATTTTGTTTAAATAAACAAACAAAAAGAAAAACTCATTTTGGTTTAATACCAAAAAAAGAATTTGCTTTTTACCATGGGAATGGCACCAAGCCATTTATTAGGAATGCTCCACTGTTATCCAAACACTTCTCACTAGGCCTTGTCCTCAGCATTAAGGGTCCCATTTTAACATGAGCTTTGGAGAGGGAGACATATCCAAACCATATCAGAGGTGTATTTTCCACTTACTTCCAGAGACATGGGCTTATCACACCTGGAGAGCATGAAAGCAGAAAAAAGAAAAGCTATTCCATGTCCCTCACACTTGAGTGATGGGAATGTTTGCCTACAAGGCCCTTCCAGCATTTAAGGTGGAGGCAGTATAAGAAGCAAAGCAAGGCCCAAATCTCTCTTGAAGCTCTTACTATTCTGCCTTTTTTTTTTTTTTTTGCTGCAGACACCATATCCAAATTTGTTTACTTTTTTTAACATTTAAATTTGGCCGGGTGTGGTGGCTCATGCCTGTAATCCCAGCACTTTGGCAGGTGGAGGTGGATGGATCATGTGGTCAGGAGTTTGATACCAGCCTGACAAAAATGCTGAAACCTTGTTTCTACTAAAACAAAAACTAGCTGGGCATGGTATTGTGCGCCTCTAATACCAGTTACTCAGAGGCTGAGGCAGGAGAATTGTTTGTACCCTGAAGGCGGAGGTTTCAGTAAGCCAAGGTCATACCATTTTACTCTAGCCTGGGTAACAGAGGGAGACTCCTTTATATCAAAAAAAAAAAAAAAAAAAAACAGAACAAACAAACAAAATATTAAATTTAAGATTGGTTACTTTTCAGTTGTGTAAAGACCCCATTTTTGTTTGTTTGTTTGTTTGTTTTGTAGCAACATATTAGTAGATGACCACTAATTGTGGTTGGAGAGGCTTACAGGGATTCTGATGCATCTAGAGATAGGTGCCTAGCCAGCAAGTAGTTCTTAGAGCTGTTAGCTCTTAGATTCTGGTAATTAAGCTATATGTAAATTCAGAATGAGAGAATACTAATGGATCATGGCTCATATATGCAACAATTAAATTTTTTAGTTAGCTAAATTTTTTATCTGGCCTAATTTTTGTGCCTTTTTTTACATGAGCATTATTTCACTCGTATGTAACAAAACAGAAAGTAAACCAGGTCAAAAAATAAATCTGAGTTTTTGTATTTTGACCTGGTTTACTTTCTGTTTTGTTATTTGAGATTTATCATGACAGAAAATTTAAATTATAAATTGTTGAAATTAATTTTTTTAAATGGAATTTTCTCTGATTGTACATAGGAGTAGTCAGTAAGATTTTCACAACTACTTTTATATTATTTGTGTCAGAAGTGACCTTTTTTTTCTTTTATTCTTAGCACAAGAAATAGGAGAAAACAGCCGTAGAAACCATGTAAGTAAACAGTCAAAAAGTTGAGGAATTGATAGTTTGATGTAAAGGTATGTCTGTTTTGATTACTTTTTATTATAATGAGGACCCAGTGGTGATAGAGTGGACCTCGTTTCATGGATTTTCTGAATCTCTTCTACTTTCCTATCAAACCAAAAAGTCTTCAGCTTAGTGTACCCACCTTTTAAGGATTTCTGACACTTAAATTTCAATACTTGGTTGTGGTATACAGATCTGCTTTAAATATTTAATCTTATTTTTAATGAAACAACAAAAAGAGCTAAGTTAATTATCAGTATGGTGTATTGACCCTCTGTCACAGCAGGTGAAAGCTTATCTTTTTTGCTAACCATGACCTTATTTTTCTCCCTCTGTTTCTTTCGATTGTAGCACACTTTTTAATTCAATCAGTAATATTGACATGATTATGACTATCCAAATATTATTCACTGCTGAGTTATATGTTGTTTTCACTGTGTCTCTTCATTACATATTCCTTCATCCTTTCTCTGAAACAGTTCTGAAATCTGAGCACTTCTGCACTTCTTCTGGATCATCTTTTTTTCCTGGCCTATGCTGGTTTATCCAGCCAAATGCAATACGTAGCCTCTGGATGGTCTGTCACTTTATTGAAAAATAATAATTGTTAAATTATATTTTACATATAATTTACATTTTACATCCATTATTTTTTAGCATGAAGCTGATTTTCTGACTATATTCATTTGCCTGTTTTTTAACAGCTGATTCCCCTCACACACACTCAGGTGTCGTAGCATTTATCACATGCCTTTCAAAGATATTTTCCATCTGCTAAAACATATCTGTTCCTCTTTGTTTTTGGCGGGTGGTGGGCAACCTTTCTTTGGCCTTTTGTCGTCCTAGTTTAGTATAGAGTGGCTTTACCTAGATATACTTGATGTTTTAGTCTATCTGTGCTATCTTTTTAAAGTCTTTTGGGAATCTCACATAACTGCCTTTTTGTGTGGGATCACGTGAGTCCTAGATTCTGTGTTTTTTTTCTGTCTTGTTATCCTCTCTAGTTGTACTTAAGCACACGTTCCTGGGCAGAGATGTTTAGAGATCTGACCAGTCTTAAAATTTTTCTTCCTTGATAGAGAGTAAACTTCTAGGTTGAATCTAAATTTTATGGTTCTGAAGATATTCTGCAATTGTGCTCTCATCACCCTGTTTTCTTGAATCTATTGCCATTGTGTGCCACGTTATTTATAACCACGTTTTTATGTGTTTTTGGAAGATTTTTGGAGCTTTTCTAGATCTGAGATTCTGAAATTTCATAATAACAGCGTGGTGGGGGATCTTTTCATTTTACTGAGGCTACTAAGTCTGCAGAGTCTCTGTTTTTGAGAATGTTTTTTATTTTCTCTGTTCCTTTTTTCTGATAGTCATGTTACTCAGGCGCTACACTGCTTAGACCAGTAGACCTGCTTTCGTTTCCAATTTTTTCCCTTCAATTTTTTATATATATATTTTTGGAGAGTTTTAACATTTTTTAAAAAGTTTTGCTTCTGATTTTGACTGGTCCCATGAATTTTGTGTGTTGTTTCAGTCTCTCTTGTTGGAGGCTTTACTCCAATGTTTGGTGGTTTCTGGCTTGCTTACTTGATTTGGAAGCAGGACTTCTGTTAACTGATGGCACTCAGTGTGAGGTTGTGGAAGCAACTAGCTTTTCATTTGGGAGACCTCAGTGTATTACCTGGGGATCTTTATTCAAGACAGTTTAGTTTCTTGGGAATGTTTTTTTAAGTTTCTGCCTGACTACTTGCTTTCCAAAAGCAGAGTTAGGGAAGCAAGTTGGAGTTCCATTTTTGGTTTATAGTTTTCTTTATATCTGAGGTTTAATCTTTGGTAGCTGGGAGCCAGAAATTCTCAGGTTTGGTATATCCAGGGAGCACACATCTAAGTTTCTTATCAGATGGGAGAACAGGAGGATGTGTCTCTAACCACAGATTTTCAACTGACCTTGGTGGCTTTGTTTTACATTTTGCACTACTTTTTAAAGTGCTGTTTGCCTCTAAGTTCACAGCCCACCTTTAGTTCTACAAGACAGACTGCTCGCTTCTGTTGCAGTCACTTTCTCTTTTTTTTTTTTTTTTTTTTTTGAGACAGTCTTGGTTTGTCACCTGGGCTGGAGTGCAGTGGTGACATCTCAGCTCACTGCAACCTTTGCCTCCTTGGTTCAAGCAATTCTCTGCTCAGCCTCCTGAGTAGCTGGGATTGCAGGCAACTGCCATCACAGCCAGCTGATTTTTGTATTTTTAGTAGAGATGGGGTTTCACCATCTTGACCTGGCTGTTCTTGAATTCCATGGCCTCCCAAAGTGGTAGGATTATAGGTGTGAACCTCCTTGCCCGGCCTCCAGTTACTTTCTTGAGGCATCATAGTTGTGCTTCTGTGTTATTTACCACTCTTTTATCTATTTTATGTCTCAGCATTTATTAAAAATTATCTCTTTTCAACCTTCTCTCTTCACCTTTATCTTGTGACTAATGAGATGTCTAGAGGGAGAAGAAATAAGTTTGTGATCAATCTATTATATTTAATCCAAATTTAGGACCTATATTAAAGCGCAAATCAAAGTTTAATTTTAATATCATTAATGATATTAACCCAGACAATTTTTTAGTGATGTATCTATAATAAGCTTGTTACAGTTGTCTTCTAAGGCCTTGTTTGTTATTTTCATTCAAACTTCATATGCTGTCATATTATCTTATTACTACATAACATAGATGGAGCTCTTTTCATGAATGCTCACAGTGTTACAAATATTTAAGTTAATTAAGATACATTTATTTTTAGCCTGGTCAACAAAGCAAGACCTCATCTCTACAAAATGGTGAACTAACAAATTAGCCAGGCATAGTGGCATATGCCTTTAGTTTTACCTACTCAGGCAGCTGAGGCAGAGGATTGCTTGAGCACAGGAGTTTGAGGCTGCAGTTAACCATCATTGCACCACTGCCCTCCAGCCTGAGTGACAAAGTCAGACCTTGTCTCAGAAAAAGGAAAAAAGTTAATAGTTTAAAGACATGCCTAAAATTTGTCCTGCGAAAAAGGAGAGAGAAAAACATAAACTTTAGTTTTTATTTTATTTTATTTATGTTTGCTGAGAAGATTGCTGTAGTTTATTTATTTTTTATTTCGGTTAGTTTTGGGGGGAACAGGTGGTATTTGGTTACATGAGTAAGTTCTTTAGTGATGATATGTGAGATTTTGGTGTACCCATCACCTGATCAATATCCACTAAACCTGATTTGTAGTCTTTTATTCCTCACCCTTTGCTCACACTTTCCCATGAGTTTCCAGAGTTTGTTGTATTATTCTTATGCCTTTGCA